GTTAAAGGGCAAGTAAATGGAAACAGACCATCATAGACTGATTTTAAAAAGAAGTCTCACATCTACACATTGGCCTTAAAAATAACCATCAAATTCAAGAATGTGATTGTATATTTCAAGTTGTGTTTTGGTGTCACATCAAGTTCCCTTTTTCGAGATACAAGTAAACTAGCAGCACTATCCGTTAGCTGTCTGTGTCGGTTTCTCGGAGAGAAAACACAAAACACAATGAGTGTAAGACCTGTTGCAATTGTGTTCAAACTAATTATGCATAAAAAGGTTCAGAGCATGGGTCTAGGTGTCTAGTCAGCTAGATGTGATATCAGGCTAGTTCAAGGTTACATTTAGACCAGGAAAAAAGTTTAGTATTTGTAGGGAGACACTGGCTGGTTCTTTCATAGTTTCAAATGGAAGGCATGGTTTAGCTTTTGTTTTCTCAATGGTTAATGGTTAAAAAGGGAAAAGCAGGTTATTTTATCCTTAAGGTTAAGATTTAAATGGAGAGGCACGTGCTGCTCTCCCATTATTTAAGGTTAGGTTCACATCTAAAATACAGCACAGTGAAGCAGGTTACAGATTAAGTTGGATTAGGAATTGTTTTCCACTGTGGTAAAAAAGGGTGGTCCAGTCTCACTATGTTTTCATAATTCCCTAGTAATGTTATTAAAGCTTTAAAGAGGGTTTATGTGCACAAGTACTCCACACCACACTAGTGGGTTAGGAGACCCTGCCACACAATTATAAAGTTGCGCAAAATAGGATGATGATGATAAGATCACTATATACCAAATTCATAAATGTCTGCTGAACATTAAGAAAATTATCAAAAGATAAATCTGCGTCCTGGTAGAATACTACTTCTTATTAAAAGAGAATAAGAGAGAAAGAGAAAAAAGAACATCTGAATGTGACTCTGCAAAAAATGTTACTCTCATGTTGCTTTTCATATGTGTAATGTAATAACAGAATGTGATATGAGGCCCTACTGCTAGCAGATAAAACATTACAGCTTTTGAAATGTTGAATGATATCATGCAAATAGATTTTAAAAGAAGAAGACATCGATATTCTGCAGTAGCTTTCATCTCATGACTTTCGAATTGATTGTACTTTGGTTCATCACCACTATTGATTTAAGTATGTTGTGATACAGTCTGTGGGTCTCTGCAGATTTAGTAAAAATCTCTTGTGCAGCTACTGTACTGTGATATGGTTACTAATTTGTGTTGTTAAATGACACACTGTGGCCTTTCCTCTGATTTGTATGATAAGATAGTATACAGTAGATGCAATTTAGTATGAGGGTACCAATATATTTTTTCAGTTTTTAAAAACTGGAAAACATTGTTCATTTGGAGCGGTTTTATAAATTCAAATAATGCACTATGCACATTCAAACATCTATTATTTTCATATACTAATAGAAGTTTTGTTTTCTTAATCAGTATCTCTATTTCCCAGTAGATGGTGATAAAGGGTTAAAAATTAAATAAAAAACTCTAGGTCTATGGAATTATCTATGCCCTGACTTATCTGACATTAATTTGGCAATTGAAATAGGAAGAATGCCCACAATCTTATTAGGTACTGTTCCAAACCCTTTAATTGAATTCCCTTAATTATAGTGACCTGCTCTTCTGTGATATTTTTATGCCTCCTTAGGCAAGTTCTTTGAAAAATCATTAAACTTGTTATCTGCACCTATCAGGTTGGTGTGTAAAGAGAGACAAGACATCTTTATCTCCATTCTTTACACCTCAAGCAGACAAGGTATTAAAATACTGGCCCGATTTGCAATTCATTAAGCACTGGGAAATAATAACTCTAATTGAAAAGAAAAAAAAAGAAATTACCTGTTATGTAAAACGCATGCTGCTAGTTAAAAATGAACTCTAAAAATAATGTTGGAAAGACAATTAGTTTTGTAGAAAATAGATTATAGGTCTAATTGTTTTATCCAGATAACTTCAAGGCCATGAGTTTTAATCAATTTGTGAATCTGTGCTCCAGTTCATGTGATTTTTTCTCTCTTGGAAACAGAATTGGAAAGACTTTAATAAGACCAGGCTAGGTTTTATTAGCATGTTTTTGGATTTGTCCGAAACATGTTAATAAAGAGTCAACATCCCCTTTCTTTATTTTTTGCAGAGTGGAAAGGACTCAGTTTAATGTTTCCTTTTGTGTGTTCTTATTGTTTAGGTAACTGCTTTGTAAAATCTGGTCTAAAAGGCACATTACCATCAATTAATTGAATTTATTCATGTCACAGTTCGCAAGCAGCAAGGTGATTTTTCTTTCCTGCCTCAATCAATTACCAATGAAGCTCAGTCTTTCAATTAGTTGGAATTACTGGAGTACCACTGAGATCTATGCTTGGACCACGGCTCTTCTGAATGTGTATAAATGATCTATATTCTGGCAGAGTTTGTAAACTAGCCAAGTTTGCAAAATACGAGATTAGTAGTATTAGCAAACATTTTAGAAGAAGCAGATGAAATTAAAATAGATCTAAATAAAATTCAAGACAGTCAAACGAGTACAAAGTGGGAAACACTGAGATAGAAGAGTCTCCTTATGAAAATTAATTAGGTCATTTTTTGCCTAATTTAGAATATTGTGTATAATTTTGGTCACCACATTGTAGAAATGTGACTATTCTACACAAACAGGCTGAAAGAACTGAATCATTTTAGTTTTGCACAGATAAGATTACTAAGGGGCCTGATACAAGTATTTCAAAAATCCTCAAAGTCATTGAAAAAAGTCAGCCCAGCAGAATTCTTCAAAATAAACACAGAAACATGAACTATAGGACAAAGTGGAAACTTTTAAATCTGAGAACAGGAAGTACTTACCCAAGGGTTGTGGGAGTATGGAACGAGCTGTTCAGTCATATTTTTGAAGCTAAAATACTGGCTTCTTTCAAGGAATGGCTGACTGAGATTCTTTAATCAATTAAATATTAACTATCAAATGGGCTAGATGAACCGAATGGTCTCCTCACATTGTAGCCTTATGTTCTTACAGTCTGTACAGTATGTAGGTTTAGTCGATATTAACATTATTTTTCCCTGAACATGGGTTATTGCGTTTTGGAAAAACAAGATAATTAATAATTAAAATGGCACAGAATTAACTAATTGATCATCTTTAATGTCAAAACTGAACAAAACGATCATCTGATTTTGCATTAGTGGGAAATAAAGGATGCCCTACTGGGTATGTGTGAAGTGTGTTCAGAAAAACATTTCGTGCTGGTCTTGCTTACAGATCACATTAGGATAACATTCTGAATGATGTCATTAGTTTCATCAGAAGGACTTGCTTATTGTAAAAGCTTAATTGAAACTACAGGTATATGTACAGTAAGATGAGTCAAAGCATGACGGTGATACATATAATGCTAATGATACATACAGGTAGTTATTGATGTTCTTAATTTCTGCATTTTCGGTTTAAAAGACCTAAAAAAAATATTTACCTTCTTAATTTAGGACAAATTAGTTCTCACTTTAACATGCTTGTCCTTTAACAGGCAATTTAAATTAGACTGAATGTTTGAGACAGTATACTCTACAAGTATGCATTGTCGAACTGGGGTTGTATAGAGTCACTTGGGTGTCACACAAGAATTTAGGTGATGTTTGTCTTAATGTTCTTCCAGCCTGATTTCCCATCATCTTACACTACTAAATAAATCTTTAAAATGTGTTTTAGTACCTTATTCTATACCTTATGTTTGTAAATCTAAAATTAAATCAATAAAACCCTGAAACAAAGTAAGCTACTGTGTGAAAAGTAGTTCAATGCAAGCAATTTGTAAATAAAATGGATTTAAAGTCATTAGAGAACAACCCTCCATTATGGGCTAAAAAGCTTTTGAAAGTATGAACACAAAGAAATAAAATCCTTGACAATGATTGTGTAATAAGAAGTAAACAAAATACATTTGGGTCCTGTATATCCACATATTCAGTTTCTGTTTCACTGGAAGACATTGTCAACTTAAAAACTTCATAAGCAGAAGTGTAACGTGAAGGAACACATTTTCCTTAACATGTTCTTACTGTTAATGCAGCCTTTTGTTAATAGTAAAAAATGCTTTATTTTTATTTAAGGGTGCAAAGAGGAAGTGAACTGTTTTGTTAATGTGAAAACATTTTAAGATGAGCACATTGTTGAACAGTTACTGTATCGATTAATAATCAGCTAAAGCTCTAAATAAGGAAGCATATTATAATTTTACTTATGAGACTTTAAAATAACATTTCAAAGGCTAACTGACAGTAAAAGAACTGAAGGTAGTGCAGTCCAGATGTGTCTATGGGCATGTGACTCATTCATTTTCCACCATTCAACACCCATCACTAACAGGTCTTTCCTTCATGCTTTAAATGAAATTGATAACCATGAACAAAAATGTAATGTTTACTTTTATTACAGCTATTTAAACTTCTTACATTACTAAATGTGTGCAAATGGTGTCATTAAGGAGTCCAAACCTTTGGCTAGTAGTGGCTAGAATATGCCAGAAAGCATCCTCACCTACAGTGTTTACATTCATTCTTATAAGGAATAGGTTTTTAATTTACACGTTTTTGAAATGCCTGGCATTTTTTCAGGAATGCATTCCCCAGAGTAAATTGAAAACTACCTTTACAAGCTGACCACTTTCACATTGTTTCTAAGGTTCCTATTATTAGTGATAAAGAAGCATTCTGTTGAATTGGCTTTATCTGTCAGCCTGTTCATAAAGTGTTAAACATGTGAAGTTTGTACTTATGCCATGGGAGCTTCCTAGGATTTGGTACGTTTCATTACTCACACTGAAAAAAAGGTTAAAAATATAGTAAATAATGTCAACAAAAACAAAGCAGAGAGACATTTGTATTTTGTACGTTTTCAACAAGTATTTAGAACCTTAGTCTTCGGGCATTGCTTAAAAACCTTTTTTTCTCCACTGCCTTACTGTGTGGTGGTGTCCTACTTTTCTATTTCAGACAAAACTGTGTTTCAGAGAGGTAGAGCAATAGACAGAGGAGAAGTGGATGTTGGAACACAAGTGATGCAGACCATTCCTCCAGGACTTTTTTGGCGGTTTCATATTACCGTTCACCATCCAACATACGTGAAATTCAACATCTCCCTGGCCAAAGATGCTTTGCTAGGAATTTATGGAAGAAGAAATATCCCCCCTACGCACACTCAGGTGAACTCTTTAATCTTTTAAAGCATTGTATCTCTTATTCTTAAAATAGATGAGAGAATTCCTTCTTTGTCTTTAAAATCAGAATTCTATTTTTATCTTTGTATGTTGTAATATTTGAATGAGAAAATGTGAAAATAGTGAGGAGTGGTCCTGTAGTTGGTACATAACATTTCTATTTATAGGACCATAATTTCTCTATCCCCAAAATGTTTTCCCTTAAGTACAATTAAATTACTGTAATTACAGTAAGTGTTGAACAGTATTTGATTGTTCTTCTGACTTAAATATGTATCAGTCTTATGCAGAGGTGCCCTGTTAGTTTGTATCATGCTTTACCATACTTCTCTCTGTTTCACCATTCTTATTATTTCATTGTATTAACTAAATTTTGCTTTTCATGTCACTCCTCTGCAAACTTGATAGCATTGGAAATTGCACTTCAATTTACTGACATTTCACAGAAATGTATTGCACATATGGTACTTCTTTTAGCCAATTAAATATGTAGCTGGCTCCATCAAGTTCATTTTATATATCCACTACAATTTGAAAGTTATCAGCATTAATATGTGTTACTTGACTGAGATGCAAATGCAGAAAACACATTTATCCAGCAGCCAAATAGTCTATGCCACAATGACAAATGCATTGTTAGTGTAACGTCTTTAAAACCACAGTATTCTAGGAATGTTTTTGAAATACATTAAACGGTGTTTCTACTGTTTTCAGCCCTTATAATACTTAAAATATTGATCAAAATATCAACAGAGAGGAGCTAAGATGACATACTCTCACTTAATATACAGTGCCTTGCGAAAGTATTCGGCCCCCTTGAACTTTTCAACCTTTTGCCACATTTCAGGCTTCAAACATAAAGATATAATTTTTTTATTTTATGTGAAGAATCACCAACAAGTGGGACACAATTGTAAAGTGGAACGAAATCTATTGGATTTTTGAAACTTTTTTAACTAATAAAAAAATGAAAAGTGGGGCGTGCAAAATTATTCGGCCCCCTTGCGTTAATACTTTGTAGAGCCACCTTTTGCTGCGATTACAGCTGCAAGTCGCTTGGGGTATGTCTCTTTCAGTTTTGCACATCGAGAGACTGAAATTCTTGCCCATTCTTCCTTGCAAAACAGCTCGAGCTCAGTGAGGTTGGATGGAGAGCGTTTGTGAACAGCA